ATAAATCGAAAGGAGACTGCGACCATACCGAGGGCCACGCCATTTCGGTCATCAAATCTTCGATTAAAAGAATTTTGTTGTCATATTCGCCAACTTTTCATCGGTAGCTATATTTATAGTACTGATTTCCTGGATGGTATTTCCGTCATCATTACTACTTTCTGAACGGAAATCTCTGCATTATTTATGAGGTAAAGATCAGACTAAAATGGACAAATATGTTCAGTTCATTCATACATAGCTCCTTTGGGCCCCTATATTTCTAAGATTGTGTTTATTTTATTATTTTATCATTGTCTGGTAAAATTTAATTCATTTTTTCAGAAGCATAGTCAAGTCATTTTATTTTCAAGGTCTGAAGTTTATCTTGTTTCAACTTATACTATTTCCCATTGTTTCCAATTATTTTATTCTTGTATGCTCTAGTCTTTTGAGAAAAAGGCTCTTTAACTACTAGTTTCACACTGGAAAGTACATTCCAGGTATCGAGTTTAGTGTCGATTCTGACTAATCTTGACGGTATAATCGCTCATTTTCTTTATACCATCTATACAGATATCATATTTCCGCTCTATTTTTAATTTTTACAAGTTTATTTCCAATATATCCGAGAGAAAAGTTTAAAATATCCCTTAATCGCAATTTAACATAGATTAGTTTTACATATTGAATTTATAAACTTTATTATAATTATTTTTAACAATTTAATTCTGATTTGCTTGTATTCTTATACAGTTGTTGCATAGTGTGGATATAAATAAGCTGCAGATCCGGATTTTTGGTTTATGGCTCTCATGATTGCATACAAACCTTCTTCTATTTTTCGTTCATAAGAAGGCTTCGAGACCACCAAATAAATCATATTTATGAGATATATTCATCCTATTTTGTTTAGGGTGATAATGGAACTGGTAGTTACATTTTCGCACAATGATATGAGTAGGCATAAGGTTTCCATTGAATTTCATTTAGCCTTGCTCTGCCAAAAGTTATTATCATCCAGGGGGGACTGCAAGATTCGGACCATTACAGAGCAGCGCTTAATCTCGACATGTTAACCACTACGCAACATTTCCACGAGTGACCTATGCGAGGCAGAAACTGCAGTCCACCTTGGATGATAATATCTTTTGGGAAAACTAGGCTATTCGAAATGCAATGGAAACGTAAGGTATATCATATCCTTGTAGGAAAATCCATCTACTAGTCCCCTTACAATTCTAAACGAACTGGGATCAATACATAAACTTATAAACGAAAAATAAATAACGTAGTCGATTCCCATAGTAAATACAACTTTGCTTCATCGACAATCCCACCACAGATTATAATATGGGAAAATGCCTGGCCTTCCTTGTAATTCACACATGCCCTTTGGCTCAACGGCTTCGTGGGATTGTCGCGTAGTGGCTAATGTGTCGAGATCGTACGCGGCAGTGTCATGGTTCGAGTCCCGCTAGAGCTGTTGATAAGACCTAGGCGAGGTAGAAGCTGCAGTCCACTCTGGATGAGAATAGATTTTGGGAAAGCAAGGCTATATTAAATTCAATGGAAACGTCACGTATACTGATATCATTGTGGGAAACTTCAACCACCAGTCCCCTTATCACCCTAAACGAACTAAGATGAATATTTTTATTTGCCTAAGTTATTTTCTAGCTGCATACTGATCAATATCTTATCTCTACTGTCTGCTTACGATTCCCCACTTTTCCTTTAATTCAAGGAGCTGCACACGCCTATGATCCATTGCTACCTGAGATGAGTCCTCTCCTGATTGGTTCGGGGCCTGATTTAAAAATTCAGCAATCCAACGATCCTGGACAATATGATCGACTACAGCAGGTTGACTTGTATGCCATATTGGCTTACCTGCTTGGCGTACCGCGACCCATCTGGAACAATGCTAGTCTAGCTCGAGTAGCTCATTTGCTTGAGCCCAGTCCAGGCAAAATCGCCATTCGCCGTTGGTTTAGACACTCTATACCACCGAGAGGTTAGTCGTGGTCAAGCGATCTTTTGTGTTTTACTTCATTCCGAATAAATGAGGTGATATAATTCATTATGGAAATTGCGCA